TCATTGTTAAACCCGGAGTACCTTCAGCTTTTTTAATTATTGTTTATGGTCCGATCTATGCAAAATGAACTGACTATGTCCTGAGGTCTTGCAGTGGTATGCTTGGGTTTAGTTTTAATTTTATTGATTATAGGATCCCAAGCAGGTGGTAGTACCCAGCCTCCTTCTCTATTGAAATTAGGATGTTTTTTAATTTCAATAGCCTCACGTATCATCCTTGGTAGGAATCGGTGTTCTTTCGCGAGGATTTGTGGTCTATCAAATCTGATGTAATGGTTGGGGCCATCTAGGATATGATCACAAACTGCAGACTTCCCGGAACGTTGATGCTTCACATCAGCTATATGTTCTTTTACGCGGGTCCTAATTGATCTTTTGGTTTGTCCTATATAAGAGAGACCACATTCACAATCAAGCTTGTACACTCCTGCATCTTGTAGAGGAATATGACACTTGACGGATGGTAGGAACTGACTAATCTTCTTCGGCGGCTTGTAGAATGTTCTAATAGAAGCTCGCTTCAGGATATAGCCAATCTTGTCTGTGACACCTCTGACATATGGTAGTACAGCAGGCACACGCTCGACTGTAGCCGGCTTCACTCGGTCACTGTGACGTAGGCGCGGGACCCGAAGCTTGTTGTCGTGCAGAACTTGCTTGACGTGCTGAAGCTCGGCGGCCAGGTGTTTGCTGTCACAGATCCCTCGTGCTCTCTGTAACAAAGATTTGCCCACGGTAGCTAACTGTGAAGGATGGTGGTGAGATTCACCGTTTAAATATCGGTTTGTATGGGTCTTTTTCCTATACACAGTGTGACCAATGGTGTTATTAGGATTTCGTAAAAGGTAAGGAATTATTTGCCTCTAACTCCATAGTAAATTGAATTTTAGCGTTTATGGAATTAAGATGTTCTAAAAATGCAGTTACTTTGTCTGATGGTAAAATTGTGAAAGTATCGTCTACGTACCGCTTGTAGATCCTTGGTGTAACAGGTGCAGTAAGGAGGGCTTTCTCCTCAAAGTCTTCCATGAATATATCGGCGACAATGGGAGATACAGGTGAGCCCATCGCCACACCATCTACTTGCTTGTAAAACTCTTCCTTCCACAATAGATAGCCAGATGTAAGGCAATGTCTTAGTAATACTGCATATTCTGCTGGCATGTTATTTTGCTCTAGTTTCCTAGTTATAATTGAGATGCAGTCTTCAACAGGTAGGCATGTAAATAGAGACTGAACATCAAAACTGACCATGGTTTCATTGTCAGTAAGATGTAGGTCTTTTATCTCACTGACAAAATGGTATGAATCCTTAGTGTGTGCTCTTGTGTGTCCTCTGAGTGGTGATAATATTTTAGCTAAGTATTGAGCCAATCTGTAAGTTGGCGAATCAATCTGACTCACTATTGGACGTAATGGAGCATTCGGTTTGTGTATCTTTGGTAACCCATACAACTTCGGTGGTTTGGCACAGGAAGGTATTATCGAATTAACGTCCAGATTCAATTTTTCGGAGTATTTCTTAATTAGATCGCTAGTTGTTTTAAGCGTATTAGTTGTAGGGTCTGTTTTGACCTTTCGATAAGTAGTTTCATCCGACAAAAGTTGTTGTAATTTAAAATTGTAATCTGACGTATCCATTATAACCGTAGAATTACCTTTATCTGCGCGGAGAATCGTAAGCTCTGGTCTGTTGCGTAAGTTTTTCAACGCGTTAAATTCATTTTTGGGGAGATTTAATTTCGGCGCTGAACTTCGACGTAACATAGACGAGATGTCTTGACGTATGGCCTCTAAATCTTCATTACCAATATTATTTTTATACAGACAGTCCTCAACACTACAGATAATGTCCTCATACGGTATTTTTCGCGGTGTTATTGCGAAATTAATACCTTTTTCTAAAACTTTTATTGTGGCGTCGTCCAGTGTTTGTTTTGATAAGTTGTAGACAGCGCGTTGTTTATGATTCGTGTCTGTGGTCAACGATTTCGTATGTTGGACATTTGATTTAGTTGTTAATTTATGGTATTTATCAATGTGTTTATTTTTGCATTCATTGTATTTAGTTGTTTCGCGTTTATCTAAAGTTTCCATGCAATTTTTATAATCAAATGTCGATAAAACTGTCTTTAATTCACTGGACGAATTGTCTATGGTTTTGTTTATGAAATATAGATCGGTACGTTTTTGCTGAATCACCGTTATTAACAACTTTTTACTAGCCTGATTTAAGATCTTGGCGCTTCCTCGAATGTCTTTTTTAGTGGATATCTTGACACACGTAGGAATGAGATTATGATCTCTGCATCTCTTCAAGAAATTTAAAGCTGTTATGTATCTTGCGCGCTTGGTCTTCAGATCTTCTAATCGGCGTATTTTATTTGCTATTTCCAGTCCAGTGGCTAACATAATGATTTCTTATATTTACGCGAACATTGCACATGATTAAAACTACTTTTACGGATTTTATCGCGTTTATTTTTTACTTTTTATTTTTAATTCCCGACGTTTCGGGCGCTTTCCAGCACCCATGGTCACGGGGGACTGAGATGACTGACGTCCCGATGTCATTGTTAAACCCGGAGTACCTTCAGCTTTTTTAATTATTGTTTATGGTCCGATCTATGCAAAATGAACTGACTATGTCCTGAGGTCTTGCAGTGGTATGCTTGGGTTTAGTTTTAATTTTATTGATTATAGGATCCCAAGCAGGTGGTAGTACCCAGCCTCCTTCTCTATTGAAATTAGGATGTTTTTTAATTTCAATAGCCTCACGTATCATCCTTGGTAGGAATCGGTGTTCTTTCGCGAGGATTTGTGGTCTATCAAATCTGATGTAATGGTTGGGGCCGTCTAGGATATGATCACAAACTGCAGACTTCCCGGAACGTTGATGCTTCACATCAGCTATATGTTCTTTTACGCGGGTCCTAATTGATCTTTTGGTTTGTCCTATATAAGAGAGACCACATTCACAATCAAGCTTGTACACTCCTGCATCTTGTAGAGGAATATGACACTTGACGGATGGTAGGAACTGACTAATCTTCTTCGGAATTAAAAATAAAAAGTAAAAAATAAACGCGATAAAATCCGTAAAAGTAGTTTTAATCATGGAACTACCACATTGAACAAGTGTGTAATAAGTTGCGTCAGTTTCTAGCCAATATAAAAATCCTAAAAAATCGCATACCCTTCAAAGTAAGACTTATGCTTTACAACTCCCTGGCTGAATCTTATATTCAGTATGGCTTGTCGAGCTATGGTCGGACGTACAAATCATATTTAAAACAGATCTATGATCTTCAATTTAGTATTCTCGAAAATATTATATCCCCTAATATACGTATACTAATTGGTGATGATGAAAATGCTATTTTTAAACATTGTAAAATCTTACCAGTTTATGACCAAATTAAATTCATGTTATTAAAAAAATATTTCTTTTGCGACAGTTTAAAATCATATATAGAACATCCAGTACGTACGCGCGCTATGACACAAAACCGACTCCGGCATATCACTGCTAATAATGTGTACGGGCAACGGACGACTGCTTATCAGGTACCACATTTAATAAATAACTTACCTTTCGATGTACGCGAAAAAGTATCACAACAAAACATTAAAACTAAACTGAAAAGCTTTTTCCTATCTAAATTATAAATACATACTATATCTACTTAATAATAATATACTACCTGCCTAGCTCTTACTTTTACTTTTACCTTGCTACTTCTGACTTTAACTAAGTTGTTAACTTACCTTTTTAGTCTTTATATTCTTGTTACACCTTCTATCTACTCATATACCTAACTATTGAATTAGACTGTGTTTTGTACATAATTCGCTTACTTGAATTTAATTATTTAGCATCAAGGTAAACCTCTGTGGTTTTTAGATGTTAATAAAGCCTATATTGAAATGTAATTTTTTTTTGATCTGATAAATAAATAAAAAAAAATTAATTTATTGTTTAAACTTAACTGGTACCTTGAATTGCGAGAGTTGACTTTACTAGTTTTACTATTAATTATACTCCATGTCATGTTAATTTTATTAGGAGCAGTCTTTATTTTGTTGCTCAAATACAATGACTATGGTCTTTCATTGTAAAGTTCATATAACCTTTGTCTACTTTTATGGACTCCTACTGTCGCCCATTCATTAAATGCCTTGCGATTGTTCAAGAATGTTTTAGAAGTAAAAGTATCTATTATTAAATTCATTGCAAATATGCTTAAATAAAGTTCCATACAAAAAATCAGGATTATTTTGGTATGAAAGTGATGGATTTTTTTTTCTTTTACTGTGTTACTTCTAAACTTCTCCAAGCGACGTGCATTTACTGGAACAAACACAACTTTTTATCTACTTGCTTTTTGTGAACATAAGGTAACGAAACTAGTTGTCCACAGTGATCAGAGCTCAATTTTTAAATTATACTTTTATTGAACGGCTTAACATTCGTAAAAATGTAATCAATACATGTTGCACAAGATTCAGCAAGTCTCCAAAAATAAATTAAAAAGTCTTTAAGATTTAAACCATGATCTAAATTTAGTATTTCTGAATGAAATGTATTTAACCCTAGAGTGGGCGCGCTAAGAGCATTTTGCCGCACTTTGTAAAAAAAATGTTAATAATATTTAAACCGTTAGTTATTGAAGGTCAAGCGTCTCAGTAGCTGCGTGTACACTCCTCCCGCACCCCCCCCCCCTTGTAGTTACGAAACAATCAGTGCGCAGCCAACCACAGGAGGACGAAGTTGTTGTGCACTAGTCCTGCGACGCGGCAAATTGCTAAGTGCGCGCCCACTGACGTAGTTAAAATTTAACGTTGTAACATATTTATTTTTGGCTAAATGACATTTATTTTTTGGTAAGTACTACATGGTTTTGTTTATTTATGTACTCGTGTAGCATAATTTTATGAAATTTAGAGTTATTTTTTTATTCTGAGGTATTGTTTTGTATCTTTTCAGCTTTTCATTTCAGCAAAATGAATAAGCAAGACGCGCAAATTTGTTCGTGGTTAGAGGAGTCTGATTTAGAAGAGACCGGTGCACAATGTTTCGACGAAAGTATGTCTGAAAGCGATCGGGACAGTGAAAATTTGGAACATAATAGTGATACCGAACAGTCAGGAGATGAAATGATGTCATCGGAGACATGTTTCCATCGACTCAATTTAGTCGATCATCGGCCATCGACTAGTTTCAATCAATTGACAACGATTCCTAGGAGTCGCAGCCGTTCTCCTGTCACCTCCCGGAGACCATCTCGCAGTGCACGTCAACATCGTGAACGTTTGTCGTTTAGATCTTCATCAACATCTTCAAATTCATCGAGCGATGAACTTTTGGCTCACATACGAGTAAGACCAATTCGAACATTTCAAACTGAGAGAAATTTCATTGAACCTACTACAAATCGTCCTCCAAGAGTGCCTGTGTACAAAGGTAAAGATGGAACAAAATGGTTAAAAAGTCCTCCTTCAAGACCTTTCATACGAACAAGAGCTGAAAATATAGTTACGAATCCTCCTGGAGTGCGTGGAGAAAATGCTAAAAATTCAAAGACGCCATTAGATTGCTTCCGCCTTTTCATTACTCAACAAATGCTAGAAGGTATAGTTTCTTTTACTAACATCCGCATACGTGCTAACCAGCACAAGTTTTTACGAGAAAGAGATACTAAAGAAACTGATATATTAGAAATAGAAGCTTTGATAGGTCTTCTTTTGATGGCAGGCTTGAAAAAAATGCATCATGTGAATATTCACGAAATGTGGAATGATGATGGTACTTCCCCCTGATATATTCAAAGCAACCATGTCAATCAAGAGGTTTTACTTTTTGATGAGGAACATTCGTTTTGACGACATTCATACTAGAACGGAGCGGGTCAAGCTAGATAACATGGCGGCAATGAGAGATATTTTTGAATCTTTTGTAACTGTCTAGCTTATTATGAGATTGGAGATAATGGTACTATTGATGAGATGTTGGAGTCATTTAGAGGACGATGCAAGTTTCGTGTTTAGATGGCAAATAAACCAGCTAAGTACGGCATAAAAATAAACGCTCTCGTTGATTCAAAGTCCTATTATACCAGTAATTTGGAAGTTTATGCAGGTAAGCAACCAGAAGGAAGCTTTTCTGTTGACAATAGTCCTACATCTCTGGTGATGAGATTGGTCAAAAATATTTTGAACACAGGCCGAAACCTTACAATGGACAATTATTTCACATCCATTCCACTTGCTAATCAACTTGTGCACTCTTACCGTACAACTATTGTAGGTACTTTGAGAAAAAAATAAAAAAGAAATTCCGCTGCAGTTTCTCAATACGAAAGAAAGAGCTACCCCAAGTACAATGTTTGGTTTCAATGAAAAAAAAAAGTGCTTGTATCCTATGTTCCTAACAAGAAACCAAAAAAAGTCGTTCTACTTTTGTCAACATTGCATGATGACTATAAGATATATGAATCAACCGGTGATGATGCGAAGCCCGAAGTAATCACGTTTTATAACGGTACTAAGGGTGGAGTGGATACTGTTGACCAGATGAAAGAAGAATACTCTGTGGGCACAATGACATCATTCATTTACAACGTTCAATGCAATTATCTCGTTATATTTTAATTAGAGCTATAGCAACGTTTGGTAATTTTATACTATCGCGGTCCCCGGTTGGGAGAGAGTTGGGAAAGGGAAGCACCACGCACTCAACGTAGCGCAGTTGAGGAAAGCCCGGTCAACGGAGCCCTGCTTCACGGGGCTCCTACTTCTGAGTGGTTTATAAAAAATAACCACAAAGGAGATGGCGGGGTCTTTTCGCTCGCAACGCTCGCTCACACGACCCCGGCATCTCCTTCCAACCTAACCTGTCCGAGTGTGGATGCCCTAAGTCCCGAGCTCGCTTCGTTTGATCTTACACTCAGAACACCAAAATATTAAATTTTATTATTATTTCGATTTTTAGAACGTTAATGATAACATTTAAAGTCAAAAAATCATATAAAAACTTAAAGTGAGATAAAAAATTAATAAACAAACATTTTCAATGCTCTTTTGTGTAGATTAACAAAAAAAATATAAACTTCGTTTAACGCTTTGCAAAAAATTATGTACGATTATATTCGAAGAAGTGCGTTTATGATCACATTTAAAGTCATAAAATTATATGAAATCTTAAGATGAGATATTTTTAATATTTTTTCCATAAATCCGCCATTAAGGCGAAGATTTAAAAAAAATCAATTTTCTGGAGCCAAAAATCGAGAGGACCGCGATATTATAAAATTACCCAACATTTTAATACTAAGAGCGAGGGAGCTGATAAATCTTATCTAAAATGCCGCTCCCTAAAATCTACCACCCGGAGCAGAAAGTCACTTCCGAAAACAGGCCTCATATGGGGAATTTTGCCATAGTTACCACGCTTGGCAAGCGGCCAGGTAACCGCAGTTTTTTATTGTACTGGAACATCTTTATGAAAACAGTAGAGGACATTCAGTAAGGTGTTTAAAAAAAGTCACGTTTTCTTGTAACGTTTCACCGCCGAGGCTACATGAGTACTATTATTTAACCTACTTATGTAAAATACAAAATAAAAGAAGAATGATATGTCGATAAGAAGTTTCAGTTTGTACGTATGTACGTACACAAGTTCCCTGGTTGTTATCAGAATGATGCTGGTGTCCATCACTTGCACCAGTTTTTCTCTTGTCGCCTCTTACAACAGCTGAGGGACGATATGGGCCAGTGGATATTACCGCAGCAAATTAATTAATGAGAATTAAATCCAGTTCTTAAATTAATTACTTTAATTATTTATAACAACTAAATTTTTAATAAATAATAATCTGTAATTAACAATATTAAAAACCTTTTCAATGCAAACCGTTTGTACCAACGGCTGTATGTCTGAGGCCTAAAAATATTTCGAAGACAAGCAGCGCGGCGGACTACTTCTGAATAACTCCCTCGTAAATTAGAGGATCCATCCCTCGTGGGCCACAGCATTCACCTTTAATCAGATGGATTGTGTGCTATATTGTCTCCTTTTCTAGTTCATAATATACTGGATAAAAATTTCGTTTAATGTTAGTTTTAAAGATTTTTAAAAATAGAAATAAATATTACAACGAGCATATAGTCCACCTAATAGTGAGCACATGCAATAGCCCTAAGCAACATGGCAGTCAAGCGAGTTGAAGCAGTGGCAGCAATATACTTAAATTGTATAATTAGCTTAAGTACCTTACTAATTTATATGCAATAAGTATATAATTCAACAGCTGTTATGTTACTTGTTCAAGGTATTTCATACACCGACAGCTTTTTACAGTTACAAATTACCTACTTCACTTCATGATATAATTTGGTATCTTAATCATAATGGAATATTAAATGCAAAAAATAAAATTTTACTTCCGCTAACAGTCATATATAATTGGATGTAAAATAGCGTTTACCTTTTCCATAAATCGAATTAAAAAGTTAAAAAAATAATAACTTATTATAACTAAACAACCTAATAATAAAAAATTAATAAACTACTTCTTAATAAATATATTATATGAGTAATTAAAATTAACAATAGTAATTATTAAGGTAGATTCCTACTTAAATAAATAATTTAAACTTCCGTTCCAATATCAATATGGCGTCGGGAATAAACATAGTCGTGGTACCATACCACTATATATTGTTTACGGGGTTCTAAACTATCTACCATATTGTAATAATTCTTATATTTAGAAATCATAATTATTGAATTAATCAACTATGTTTTAGGAATAATCCTAATATACACGTGATTGTTTTATTAAAGAACGAAAACGTTCTTAAATAAAATTATTTAATAATTTTCTACTATACGCAATATGTCCAATTAAGCATTAAAAGTAGATAATTTTAAGAATTCATTTTGTCGTTACAATCTTAAATGGATAAAAAATTCAAAATTTATATCGTTGTTATTTCAATTACAAAATAAGTACAAAAACTATATTTTGGAAAAATTAGATAGTTTGGAGGACGTAGTGAACATCCGAGTACACGGGGATACGTAGTTCAGTCGTCCCGCACTCGCAGGGGAAAAGATCCGCTCTAAGTTGCCTCAAGTTTTCTCACTACTTTTCCTACGCAACCCGGAAGTCTTAAAGGACGCCGATGGACGACATAGAAATGGAGGTAATTTGTTTCATAACTTGTATTTTAACTTGTAAATAAAGCACCCGTATTTTAATTGTAATGTTCCAGTCTAATGTACGTCCCACTACTAGACACAAGCCACTCATTTCCGGCAAGGTTGTGGGTAAGGTCTGCCACATATGTCTGAATTCCGTTTCGAAAAGCCGGTTCGGAATATCGATTTAAGGTTCCGTAAATACACCACACGCGTACATTAATTTCATTTCGGAATAACAAGGCTCAGTTGAAAGACGCTAGGCATCGAGTACAGACATTCTGCCAGCGGAAATGGATGAGGGTTTTATGATTACGAATGCATTGTTGCTGTATCATTGTTACTGGGTGCATCCCCTTATTACACTAATGGTCAACATTATGTAAAAAGAGCTTAATTACAAGCTTATCTCGATATTATTTTTAAATACTATCGGATGTCCATAAAATATTCCGACGAATTGTTAAACAAAACACGAGGACTACCCGCAAGCTAAGCGCGGCATATATGGTTAATCAGCTTATATCTACGGCGGAGGTTTATGTTCACCAGTTAACTATAGTGGACTGTAATGGATGGACCCTATTGGATGAGCTATTTAATATAAAGGGAATCGTTGAAATGAATTCAGCAGTTTCCGGGAAATCGGTCAACATACATAAGAAAATATACATCAGACGTGTCAAAAAGAGATTTTAGACGTGGTAGAGCCACGCTGCAGCTATATTATAGTTGTAGTACGAACTCGTCGGCGCGATCGGGGCAGTACCACACTCTCACAGAATACCAGCGTAAAATACCAGAGTAATGCTGCTGTGTTTCGTACGGTGAGTGTAGAGTACCGGAGACCGTTATACTGGAATCAAGGCATTCCATATTAGTCGCAGGGGTGACAACGCGTTTGCATTTTGATTCTTAAATGAGGATAAATGTGGATGTCTAAGGGCCACAGCATCCACTTCCCATCGGGTGGACTGGGTTGCCAATGCTATAAAAAATATTGCTATGTGCGGTTTCTGTGGACCGTTAATTAACAATGACATAGTTGCATAATGACTATAATTTTTTAACTATAAATTACTTAATAACTATAAATTTATAAACTTAGGACTATTTTTATTGGAAATGAGGCATTCCATTTTTATCTTGAGGGGTGACAACATATCTGCAGTTTGATTTCTAATCGAGGGTAGACGTAGATTTCTATGGGTCACAGCATCCCATCTATTACCATCAGGGGGACTGTATGGCCGTTCATCATCCCTAATATATAAAAAAAATATTACATCTATCGATAATATATGTATGTATTGGTTGCAGGCAAAAAGACGTCGCACTATGGGCCATGTCAACGAGGCGGCTATTTCTGCTCACGGTAAGGAAATTCTTACATAGATACACTAGTGTTCACATACTTCTCCAGTCGTGTCATTCCGACACGATTCCCATTGAACTATGAGAGCGAGGGTCGAGAGTGCCTGTGCGTGCGTACACACTCTTGCACTATACTGGAAAAAATAGGGTGTAACTGGTGAACGGAATAGAAGCCTATGGCACTGATATTTTATATTTTTTCTTTACATATAAACATATTTTGAAAAATCTATCAATAAATACTACCAATTAGTTGCGTATTATTTTAATTTTGATAGTTTTAATTGATTTATTTTTCTATTTAAAAGTTTTTGTTTTTATTTTATTATTACCGAAAGCTTATTTTAAATTAGTGGTATTTATTAATAGTTCAATTTCATAATATATTAATGTAGAAAGGGTCTTCGGTTCTGTGGCATTGAACTTGCTATACTCGTAAAATGTAGAGACAACATCTCTGATGAGATGTAATGAATGGTTGTATATTGACCAATTTGTACATAAAATTTGTAAAAAGATTAATAAATAAAAGATTAATTAATTAATTATTATTATTTATTCGATAAATATTGTGAAATTTACTTCTTGATTAACCAAATAAACGTAGATTTAAAATATCAACATGGATTTATTCTTCACAAGTTGTAGGTTACAACACGAATGCTCGATGAAATAATACTAAAATCAACTTTGATAGATCTTAAAAACAATTGGTCGTAGATAAATACGGTATCGACAAATTTATATCGATACTTCGATTTTTTAAAGAACATCAATTTCTATAGCGAATCATAATGCAAACTCATTACAGAAGAGTAAATAAACATAGTGATATAATGATCGTTAAAATAAGACGTATGTTAACAATATATATAAACAGAGCAAACTCAACAATGCGTAATATATCTGGTTTCTTTTTTGAACAAGCGTTGGCCCCTATTAGGGTTGAATAAGGGACTCGCAATTCCTTAGTCAAGTTAGTTCTATTATTTATTCTATGGTCAAGTGCTCAGGCCATCAATGCATACATGTTCTTTAAATTTACAGAGGCTGAAAAAGGAAACATACCACAGAATATACAGCTTCCAAGAACTGAACATGTTACGGCAGTGCATCAAGAAGCATGCATAGCAGACGTGCAATCATACAAACCCTCCGAAGAATCTGAAACGCCTCTGGGTAGCCTGGACAGGACTAAAGTGTCACTAGGCGACTCTGAACAGTCTACGGATTCCGAAAGATTTATACGGTGAGTAATTCTATATTTTTATAGTATAAGTGTGACAAATGAGAACGTCCACCTGATGGTGGGTTGATGCTGTGGCCTATAACCTGCTTTCTTTGTATGAAGTTGGCTGCAGGTGTCCGTGGCACTTAATAGCCACTTCCCATCACGTAGTCTCCAATATGTATGATATGTAACTGATACAAAATTTGAAGATAGTCATATCCAAAATGCGTAATCACACCGCACTTTTCTCGGAAATTCTTCTGGTTTAAAAAAATATTTTGTTTACAGTGACCAATGGGGAATCGAGGGAACGATGATTAAAATCTTGCATTGTATAAAGGAGCGGACAGGACCAATTAATATTAATAACCTGGTTATTATAGGACCAACACTACCGGGAAAACGTAATATCATAGCAGCGCGCTGTTTTTCTTCGGTACTCAGTATGTACCGATTAAACAATTAATACATTATAAAATACCTAATAATAAATATCATCAATATATATCATCAATAGTTATCTATTTTCAGAATTGGAGCAGCGGGGTTTTATCTGTGTTTGTAAAGATCCTGAAACATTGGAAATAACGGATATATTTCTAGGACCTGTTTTCCATTTTTATAAATGATTTCAAAGTCGTACTCCTGTAGTCGTACTCGCCATGTGGTTAGTTCATTAAAGGAACCAAACAGTAAGTTTGGTTCCTTTAATGAATAAAGCCAAACTAAGCTTAGATGGTCAGTGTAAATTCAAACAATAATCTGATTTTATATTTGTAATATCTTTATGTATGTTAATAAAACAATAATATCTTATAAATAATTGCGATAAACAATTATATAAGTAAGAATATATAGTAAATACATGATACTAGTGGGGTCATTGAATTCTTTCAGTAACCCCAAAATAATATAACTTAAATTTTATCAATAAAATCTTTGAAGCACATCTTCATAATCACTGTAATTAAAACGATATGTTGCATATACACACACCGATGAACCATAAAAAAATCCGATCCTAGTCGATAATAACTATAATTAATTATATACATAATTTTAACCGAGCATCTTTAGTTTTATTTACCGCCCACCCTCCCACTCCTTTTGTCACCATTTTGTTAAAGCCAAGATAGAACGCGCGGACTTTATATTAATTTTTGTTGGTTTTTTATTTATAAATTCTTATTTTTATCTGATTTTAATGTGATATTTAGTTAATTATATTTTGATTTGAAAACAATATTTGGTTGTTAGATAATGGATCCTAAGCATCCCATTTGTAATTTATTGTGATGGATTAAATAATCGACAGTTCGTCGTCTCGCTTAATGTTATATAATGTTTAGCATGTAATATTGTTGTTGTTTTCTACATACATACATAAACACTCAGCCTGTCACCCAGAGGGGTAGGCAGAGACTACAGACTTCCATTAAGCACGATCCTGACACACCTCTCTCGCCTCCTCCGTATCCATATACCTTTTTCTGATTTACCGTAACGTTTATTTTTTTATTCTTGGCATCTATATCACGTAGTACACGTCCCGGGAGAGAATACTAATAAAATAATTAAGTCCTCCCTTTGTAATCCTTTTTATTGGGATGTTTTGTACAACAGAAACAGAGACAGAAACTTTTTTATCAATATCACTGACTTTTATAGCATACTTTTATATATAGAGGTGAGTGTTCAATATAGATTATAAACTACACTTACTAAAAGGCACTTTTTTCATTTACCACTGGTTTGCCAAAAAAAAAACCTCTGTCCTGGGAAGAACCAGCAAGAAACCCAGTGGGACTATTTTTTAAAATAATAGCTTACAATCATGTATGTTACAATTAACAACACAAAACAAATTAGAAATAGCTTGGTAGCGATCACCCTTGCCGGGGGTTATTATCATCCATAAATTCCTTAATATTATAAAAAATGAATAATAAGAATGAATTACTGACTTGGTGGAGTCGAGTAACTGGTACTACAAGCTTGTGTCTGTTCCTAATATTTACAGAATGAATATCACTTATTTTTACAAAACTACTTTTATTTTTGTGTACGTACCATTTTCATAAATGTATTGAGAGGCCAGAGTTAATATATTAATTTCCTTAATTTTTTTTCTGAGCGATCTTTGTTTTAAATAATATATTGCTCTAATGGCCCTCTTCTGTAAAACAAATATAATATCAGTGTCAGTCGCGTGTCCCCATAGCAAAATACCATACTACATAATACTATGGAATGGCTAAAGTAAATAATTCTAGCTGTTTCAACACTGGTAAGAGTTCTAATCTTTTTTACAGCGTATGCTGCAGAACTAAATCTGCTAGTTAGTTTTGATATATGGGGGAATCATTGTAGCTTTGCGTCTAGTGAAATTCCAAGAAAAACGGTGATATCAACAAGACCCAGCTCCTCCTTATTTAAACTTACATTAATATTAACATTTTTGACATTCGGTGTTACGAATTTCATACATTTAGTTTTAGTTCCATTAAAATGCAAATTATTAACATTAAACCAATTAACTAAATTAGCTATAGCATTATTTACTTCGTCGAAATTTGAAGATTAGATTAGATTATTTTGAAAATTAATATAGTATCATCAGAAAATAATAATATATCATGGTTATGCCCTACTATGTAAGGTAATTCATAAATATATACAAGAAACAGAAAGGGGCCGAGAATTAAGCCCTGAGGCACGCCCATTTCTACAATCGACCCGGAAGAACTCATAACTATTAATAACAACTTTTTGCGTTCTGTTACTTAAATATATTTCATATTTAATTACCGAGCAATAATTTAAGGCGGCACCCTGACCAAACCTTGCAAAAGTGCGTTTTTCGGAGACTATTATCTATTAGTTATGAGAAATAAGCTATATATAAAGGCACATTATTAATGTTCGATATCCTATCATCACATTCCACGTTTTAATTTGCTTTTATGTGTTATGAATACATTTAAAATCTACTTTTAAAAAAATGTCTAAAATTATTGTTTACATGCATCTGTTGCTAAAGGAAACGCTCCAATCATTTGAGGATTACACTAATGGATAGATAATTTAAAAATCTATATTCTACACGTTTTATTTAATTTCTTAAGTTCGCTTATCTTTTTTAATTGAAATAATTCCAAATATTCGGGCGTATTTTTACGCGATATATTGTAGCGAGAGCGCGTGGATTGTATGGGACCGAACGCTCAAGGTCTCTCGCTAGGGGAACCATCTTAAGAGCATCACTTCTTATACCGTTAATTATACCTTATAGTGTTGAAGTTGCCTGATTAATGTTTCATGGTCAACACAATTTTACTAAGTGTTGGCACTACAGAATTAGGTCGAAAATTACCGAGGTCCATCAGATTTAAATAAAGGTATTACTGTACTTATATGCATTAAATCAGGAAACACGCCAAATTCGATACTAGTATTAAAAATAATAGATAGTTGAGGTGCGATTGTATCTATTATAGATGCAATAACTTTAACGAAAATCCCCCACAGATCGGCGGTTTTCTTAATGTCAATAGTCTTAAAATATTTTACAATATCTTTTGATGACACTTTATCAAATGTAAAATTCTTTGTACACGCATTTACATTTTGTTTTAGTAATGATTCGACGACGGCAGGAGAGGAATTCAGTTACTTAGTGGTTAAGATCGGAATATCAGTAAAATATTTCTCAAAAACGATTGCAACGACGTGATCTGGTTTAATTAATTTATTGTTTAAACTTAACTGGTACCTTGAATTGAGAGAGTTAGCATCACCAGTTTCACTATTAATTATACTCCCTTTCATTTTGATTTTATTAGGAGCAGTCTTTATTTTGTTGCTCAAATACAATGACTATGATCTTTCATTGTAAAGTTCATATAACCTTTGTCTACTTTTATGGACTCCTACTGTCGCCCGTTCATTAAATGCCTTGCGATTGTTCAAGGAGATTGTTTTAGAAGTAAAAGTATCTATTATTAAATTCATTGCAAATATGCTTAAATAAAGTTCCATACAAAAAATCAGGATTATTTTGGTATGAAAGTGATGGAATTTTTTTCTTTTACTGTGTTACTTCTAAACTTCTCCAAGCGACGTGCATTTAGTGGAACAAACACAACTTTTTATCTACTTGCTTTTTGTGAACATAAGGTACCGAAACTAATTGTCCACAGTGATCAGAGCTCAATTTTTAATTTATACTTTTATTGAACGGCTTAACATTCGTAAAAATGTTATCTATACATGTTGCACAAGATTCAGCAAGGCTCCAAAAATAAATTAAAAAGTCTTTAAGATTTAAACAATGATCTAAATTTAGTATTTCTGAATGAAATGTATTTAAATGAATAAATACCAATTGTAAAAAAAATATTTTGAATTAAAATGCCAGGAATATAAAAAATGACACAGCATGTTTAATTCGCTTAAAAAATATTCACGTTCAAATTCTTTTTTCTTATTTGCTCCTGCCCTTTTTTATAGTATAAGGGCGACAAACGAGCACACAGTCCACCTGATGTTAAGTGAATGCTGTAGTCCATAGACATCTACATTTTTCTTTAATTAAAAATCAAAATGCAGATGCGTTGCCAGCCCTGAGAATTGAGATGGAATGCCTCGTTTCCAGTAAAAGGGTCTTCGATTTTCTACACTCACCGTACGAAACACAGCACCGTGCTGCTATTTTACGCTGGTACATACTCTGTGAGATTGTGGTCCTACCCCGGTCGAGTCGACCCATTCGTGCTGCAACCACAATATAGCTGCAAAATGGCTATACAACGTAAACCACGTAACTGTCTGCCTACTCTGATACGATGGATTAAGTATTTGCGGCGTTGTTTGTGCATCCGACTTCTTTAGAACTTGCCTTATCTATAAAAAAGAAGCAAGTAAACGCACCTAACTCAACCAATCTTTAAGCAAAAATATTTTTACTCCTAGTTATTTTGAAAATACCGTCTAAAAATAAATCTGTGCATTCTATAAACCCTA